GATGACAACGCTTAGCACAAAGTAGTATACTTGAAGTAAAGTCTATTAAGAATAGTTAATTATAAGTATAAATTTAGAAAGTATTTTTCCAACTAAATTGGGACATTTTTAAGTTTACTAAGGTATACTTTAGTAAATAATAAAGTAAACAATAGTATAGTCAAATACACTTGACTATACTATTGTTAAGTACCGTATATAAAATGTAGTTTAGAATAAGTAAACTCTAAGTGCACTGCCTGATTTTAAGTATCAAATTAGTGCACTTTTAACCTTTGTAAGCTTGTTTTCCCCCCCAGTCTGGGAAGTGACTGTTTCAACCCAACATGGACATGAAGAAATGCAGATCCTGTCAAGAGTTAAGGCAAAATTTTCCGTGGAGCTGAGGTCGACTTCTGCTGAATCACCAGTGGGGGAGACAAACAACAGGAAATTTGTGGAAGTTGTAAGTTTCATGTATAAAAAATGTATGGTTTTACTTTCAGCTGTCTTGGGTAATTCCAAGCTTTTTTTCATATTCAGCTGAAACAGCTGCATTATTTTTTAAGTCCCCTTTTCCTGTTCTGTATTTATTTATTTTTTCTGGCAGTGTTTTTGTTTTGCTCTAAATTTCCAATCCGTTGCTTGGAAGCAACAAATTGTGTTTGAAGCATCTCCATTATCAGTAGTGTCATGAAAGGGATTTCATGTTCAAGATTGTCTTATGATCAACATTTCAGCCAGGGGAAATAAAAAAAAGAAAAGAAAAGAAATCTGCAGCAGGTTTATGAATTGCACTGTGATAGGTGTAAAATGTTATCAGAGGAGCATGTCGTTCATGAAGAGGGCCATGATTGTTTATAGAGGCAATAAAAGTAGAGTAACCATGCAAACCCTCAAACAACATCAAGTTATTTCTGTTAAGTTTTCTGTACTTTTTTGTCCTCAGGAGAAACAGAAACCTGTTAAATTGGAGCTAAAGGGAGAAAAGTGCAACCTTTGTCAACAGGTATTCCAATGCATTTGAAAGGTAAACATTTTTTTCTCTTAAACAGCCATTCAGAATGCTATTCTTTTATTTGTGCAGGTGAAAAGGATAGATGTGAACTATGCTGTCACAGTGGTTCACTGTACCCAGCTGTGCAGTAAGTATGGCTTTTGCTATGGCTTGTCTCTTTCAAAAAAAAACAAAAAAACTCACTGATATTTATTTATTGTGCAGCATAGCCAAGGTAATGCCTTAGTTTGGCATGAAAACTTTTCCCAGTACTTCTTTTTTTTCCAGGCATTAATGACTTTCATATTTACGGATGTTGACATTTCTTGAGAGTATTGATAAATGCACGTGCCTTCTAATCTTTTTTTCTGGAGTTAGTTTGATAAATAAAAGCAAGACATGCTTTCCCCGAAGATACACATGGAGGGATAAACATCTTGTTTTGTTGTTTTACTTTAGTTTGTGAATTAAGTGGGCAGAAAGGTCACAGGCAACATATTCTTTTTAGATTTGGATTAAGATAGAAGACTTTGATTATATTATACCTTTCGCTACACATTAAAATCCCAACAGGAAAAAGGTTGCATCATTTCAGGATATTTCTCTTATTTTGATGTGGTTACATTTAGAAAATAAGAAGTTTCTTTATATGTTCTTGATGGGTAAAAACTATGAAAACACTTGATGCTTTTTTATTCTTTACAAGCCTTGGAAAAATATTTTTATATTTTATTTACATTTCCCAACTATATATAAAATACCTGGTAGTTGCAACCACTTTCAATGCACTACAAGACTGGTGTTACTCTTTAATAGAATCCCAATTCTGTTTCAGGAAGTTAGACAGAATCTTCACTAAATTTAAACAATGAGTTGTTTCAGCAGTGCTCACCTCTGCTGAGTCATGGGAGCAAAGTTTTAAGTGACAGAATAAACTTGGGCACAGTTTCATTAGTCACATCTCATTACCCTTAATGCTCTCTTGGACTCTTAACTTACCTGCACCAGGCTAAGTCACAGAACCAACCCATCTACACACTCAGAGCTGTTACCACCCAGTCTTTTCTTTTTAAAATAGATAAATAGCTGCATCATTTACACTACACAAACTTGTTTAAATGCACAAAATAACCATTAGAGGTTGATAAAAATCACTTATTCACACAAATGTATCCCAGCTCATTCCAATAATAATAATTGACATCCATTCTTTCCAGTGTATAAGTCGTCTTCCCTGGCTTCTTCTGACTCGATGTGGATTATTCTACCAGCTGCTGCATGCCTTTCTGGCATCATTATCATCACTCTGGGTCTCTGCTTACTGCTAACAAGTAAGAGCTAAAACAAATACTGTTAAACATGGGGCTTTACTTTAATCTGATGTGTTGACATATTGTAGCAGAGGCACCTGCTATATTAGTTTAGGCTCAGATCCAAACCAAACCTTCAAAAACCCTTTGACTTTTTCCGTATATACCGATGAATCTACAAAACTATCTGTGTTTCTGTCTCAGAATTTAAAACTATTTGTGTATACCGCTCCCCTTGCTAAAGTCATTTGCATACACATTATTGACTTCCTCAATAAACGGGTGGGTTGAAATTATACCAGCTTCTATTTAGGGCTGTACCCATAATAGTTTTTTCATCCTGATCACCTGTTTCCTTATTACTCCTGTTTCCGCTCCCTTCTAGTTTACCGCAAGAGGAAAGAAAAAGACATCTGTCTCTCTGAAAAACACACAGGTACCTTATTTGTTTATTATGCAATGCATACTATTTGAAAGGCTACACGCTTATCTCTTACCACTTACCTCTCTGTTGTGCTGCAGACACTGAGGTCTCTGAGTTACAAACTCATATCTGAACCCCTGAAAATAATGAGAAGGACAACTAACTTTTAAAAGGAACCTGAAACAGCGCTCTGGTCTGGACCACTTCATGCATTGTGCGGCATAAAGATGTTACAAAAACAAAAAGTTCTCGATTAAATCCGTTTGTTCTCCTTTATCAATATTTCAAATATTTGTGCCAAGTTGTTCATTGTAAATATGTGTGACGTGGTTGCTGCAATTTACTATGGTGCAATATGGTACGCTACACCATGGTATGGCACGGTATGAAGACCAAAATGAAGACAATCGGGCACCAAGCACTGTTTATTTCCTTGGAACAGGAGGCTATATTAATTCAAAACCCAGCTACTGATCTGGTCAATGATAGGCTGGAACAACTGGAAATTTGGAGGTGACATCTAAGAACTAACCTATAATAGCTTCGGTGAGGCTAGAGGCCTGGTTATACCCCTGCGGCAGTGTGTCGCAGTGAGCTTGACGCAGACATTTTTGATTTCTGCTCAGTATTGAAGCATGGTCTGCACTATATATGCTGAGCGTGTAGATACAGCCGAGGCGGTGAGGAAGTGGGGGCGAGTTTGTCCGACAACAGAGGGACATGACTGCGAATAATACCGGGGATCCAGGTGGAAAAATGGTCCAGCTCTTCCAGCTGGTCCAACTTCACAAGTTTTTTTCCACAATTTCGGCCATAAAAATAAAAAAAGCCGGCCTCCTGTCTGCGGTCACCTACAATTTGGGAGAGATGCAGCGGAGTGTCTGCGGAAGGGGCAGGGACGTCTTTTTGTTCACTTTGACACCTACGCAGAGGACCTAGTTTCGAAGTATAAATCAGTCTTAGTGACTAAAATCCTTTGGCAGGTCACTGTCTGGTTATCCCCAATTCCTCTGTTGTCTATTATCACAGATAGGCTGGGCTTAGCTCATAGAAGCTAGAGACTAGCATGCTGTTCATCCAATATAAAAAAAAAAAATACAGAGCTGACGAGAACCTCCATTTGCAACTTTGGATTTATTGTCATTTTCCTACTTTACCAAACTGATTTTGCAGCTTTTTAGTCTTCAGTCACCATTATCTTAATATTAGTAAGATAAATCGACGTTAAAGATGCCAAAGGTAGTGAGAAAAGTAATGGAAAAGCACTCTAGCGTGCCTATGTAGTTTCAGTCATCTGGTTCATGGCAACCACAGAACAGGCTTAAAGGAATAGTACACCCAAAACATGATTAGCCTTCATTTTCTACTC